AGCTGACAGTCTCCTCGCCATCTCTTTAGAAATAAAGGTCTTGACATTCACTGTGGTGACTGACTGTCTTCAGGGCTTCAGCCAGAGCTTCACAACGAGTTGGGTTTATTAACACTGACCGCAGGAAGGGGCAGGCGGCTGGAGTCACGGCAGACAGCAGACGAGGATCAGGTTATGGCACACCGCAGAGTGCACATGTCCTAGGAAACCCACTCTTGAGTTGGGTCACTTTATCCATCATGTATTTGCTATAAAGTGTTTCATTACTGTGTTTTTTAAAACTCAAAATCCTTAAAATTTTAGTGTTGCTGGCTTTAATGCAGAGTATTTTCCTTTCCCTTCCTTTTCTTCCCTTCCCTACCAGAATCTCTCTTTGCTCTGAGAGCTGCGCTCCTACGGGTTTCAAGTGCTGCTCATTTTGCATGCAACATTTGGATGAGACAGATATTTCAGGAGGCTTCCCCATTATGGACCTTGTTGTAGAGGTGTTCTTCAGCCTGTATGCTAACTGCCCAGATCACAGGTAGTGAAAGCAGCAGAGGCCCAAAGCTCTGTTTGCTGTGAGTAGTTACATAGCTTGGGGTCCAGCAGGGCCACTCTGACTTCTTCCTGGACAACTCCAACCAGCTGGAAGTACGGGAGTTTTCTGACCTCTAAACTAAGGAGCAACAGCAACTTTAGATACACAAACTGTCTTTGCTCAAACTGCCAGGGCCAAAATTTTGCCACTAGCTCCCGTGTGTGACTCTGGAGGTTGTTGAGGGCGGCACCATATTGTAAAGCTATTTTGTGCAGTACCCAGGAAGAGCGATCCTTCCTTTCCACGTACTCCTTGTTACTAAATGTGCCTGAGGATGAAGAGCTCAGTGAAGCAATTCTGAAGCAGCTGCATTCGGTCATCAAGCTGCAGTTCTCAGAGGATGCTACTCCTTGCACCCTCAAAAAGGCAGAAAATCCCGGTGCCCCAGCCGCGCAGACGCCCACCGGGAAGGCCGCGCACGGAAGGCAGGCAGGACGCAGGTGGCCGGGAAGCAGCGCGGAGACATGCACCAGCGGGCTGGCTGCTGCAGTGCGGTGGACAACCACCATGCCACAGAGAAGCACCGACACAATAGGCCCGCCCGGAGACGTGTGTGAACCATCCCGACATGGACAAAACCTCTGGGAAAACAGGCCATAAGGTGGGCTGCTCTTGGCCCTGCCCTTGAGAGCTAGAAAGGTCGGGAGTCAGCAGAGGAGCCGCTGATGAACACGGACTCAGAGAACACGAGAGTACCGATGCCCGACGACTCAGAGGTCGAGCTCACTGGGGACGCG